GCGATATATCTCCTTTATGTAGGAAACTAAACCCAATAAATTGTGTTACCGGTTTACGTACCGATCACATAGCAGTGAAAATCACTTAGATTGGTGCCATATAAAGTATATCCTCCATACCTCTGATTGTTTAGAGGCGATTTTTCATATAAGTATGTAACTCCTCTATCGATGTATGCAGATGTATTCAAAATCAGTAATCTGTCAAACTAAAATTTGCAGATGTTCATGAAAGGTATGAAGCCTTCGGCATAGCCGAAGACAGCGCTGCTCTTACTTGTTCTACCTTATTTAGGTAAATACATGGTGGTTATTAAAAACGAAACTCTTACTTAAATAAAAAAAAAAAAACGTTTCTGTCATAACAGGCCTATTCATAAAATTTTCCAGTAAGTACTAGCAGCCAGAGAATAAAAGAATCATGGCGAGTAAAATTGAGGGGAAGACTAAAATATCAGAAAAAGTGGGAAAATTTTCCAATACGGAACCCGGCTTAAAAAAAAAACAAAAATGAGGGGGTTCAGAGCGGCTTTGTGATTGTAAATCTGAAAACTCCACCCTCCGGAGGCTTACAGTTTTTATGAAAATTGAATTTTAAGTTGCAAAAAATGTCAACTTCAACCTCACTTTTTGCTTTGTAAACCAATTGTACTACAATGTCGGTGCTGCCACGCAACAAAAAATGACCAAAAAAAAGCACTGAAAACGAGAAACAATAAAAACGGCCATTGTAATTAATATTTTTTTTTTAAATTAAATATCGATGTATAGAAAAAAAAACTGATTTAGTCTAAAATCGAGAGATTTTGTAATAAAAATTTTAACTTAGTTATTTATCGAAGTATTGATTTTTATGGAAAAAGCGCCGCAGGCGAAAATTTCATTTATTATCAAATTTTCATTATTTATCAAATTATGGATGTACGTTTTCTACATTTGTGTACTTTAAATTATAATAACACCAGTAAATATTATTTCCCCTCCGAAAAAAAATTATACCGTTATGATCAGGAGTAAGACCCCTATCGATCCTAATATTATTATTTTTAATA